TCTTATCAACGTTTAAGCGTTCTACTTAATTATTTTGATGGTCTAACAAAATTACTTTCACATATATATTTAGTTATATTTTTAAGTATTTCAGTAATACTTTTTTCCGTGTAATGCAACACAGATATTATACTATAAAGATCAGGAAATGAGCTGTCTATATTTATGAAATAAAACGCAATTTCCGATAAAACAAATGAAAAGGTGATGTGCAACCAAATGTGTATAAAATATATCCTACCTTACTCCAACAATTTCATCGACCAGTAGCCATCACATTAGACAAACATAGTCTCAGTGTATACAGTGTATACAATGCTGTGTATAATGTCGAATGTAGAGGTAGCGTATGGCTGGAATTGACAATTCGGGTCCGTTAGATCGTGCCAGGCTTCTGCCTCCGACACGGCGGATTATTTCTAACGAAGGCAACGTCGCCACTATTTCGCGGCACGTAATTTCAGGGATTACTCCGGCGTGCCGAATTTTCGGAAGCGAGCGAAACGTAATTGCCTCCATGGTGGAAGCGTCACGTTACGATGCATATGCACGTGTCGAATTATACGCCGGTGTGTTCCGCAGTAATTTGATTTGTAAAAACGCCCCTAAATGTATCGCATATAGCTATGTTTGTAAGAAGCGCGAACGTAATTCCGCCACGTTTAGAGTGTAATTTATCGCAAATTTCCCACTTTCGTGTAGGTATTTGACTCAATAATTAGCATTTTCTTGAGATCCATATCAATATAATAAATGTCTCTCTTATTGATATCTATCTCTTTCGTTTTACGTCATACAAAATATATATATATATATATATATATATATACACATACACATACACACACACACACACACACACACACACACACATACACACACACTTCAATTGTAGGTGAACTCAGGAACATATTCGGACACTATTTTATGGGAGAGTCTCTGGGTATGTTTGTCGTTCAGCTGTCACGTTAGGCTGACGTGTGTGTGTCCTTACAACATTTTCCTTTTAGTGCCCGTTGGGAATATGAAAAGAGGCGACACTACGATTTCAAACTTCGAATGTCGATTTAAAAAAAAAGAGATCTTATCAAAATTAATTTTCTAATTTCCATAATGAAAATTCAATAAGATATTTTTTTGCAATATCTTATAACGTGAAAGTTAAAGCAAAGTTTGCTTGAAGTGCACGGAAAAAACGATTTTGCTGAATAATTTTGCTATTTAAAAATTTAATTAGATACACACAGATCTAAAAATAATTTTGTTGGGCCATTTAAATAATTACGTAGTAATCTCAAGTATAATGAGCAATATTGCGAAAAGTTTTGACATTCTAGCAGCCAGTTTAAGCGTCTTACACAATTATTTTAGTGGTCCAACAAAATTAATTTTTAAATCCATATCTAGCTAAATCTTTAAATGCCTCAGCAAAATTACATTATTTTTGTGTAAATTATTTTAATAGAGTTTGACTTGCGTCGTAAAGTTTCGTTTAAATTATTACGATTACGCGAATCCCGATGCAACGGACATTTAATATTTAATTAGTACTAATCGATTCAATTATTTACGAGTGAAATAGTACGCCAGCATAAGATAAACAGAATATTAATGTGCGATGAGATTAGGAACTTCTTATTTCTGCCTAGGTGAACGTATCCTTCAGAGAGTCATAAAACGCGCAGTATTTCTGCTAGAAAGCAGCATGAATCTCTATAACGCGATGTTTCCGGTTACTTCAGCGAAAGAATTGCGGTGCTCACAATGCGAAGCATCGCTAGTCGTATATTAGGATGTAAAACGACATATATGTCTTTCGGACTAAAGTTGAAGATGCGATGCGCATTGTTGCAGTGCTCGTATATAGTTGAATATGGTATATAAAGGAAAAAAAACTGGCGTACTTGATTCGTCATAAAATTCGGTACTGTCACAACGGAACGAATCTAATGCTTCAAACATCGAAGCCGTAAATAGAAAAATGACACATGTTACATAACGTCATATTTCTTCATGTTTTCCTATCAACAGTTTCCCAAATATATATTCATAATACTAAAATCATATCACACAAGTTAATCTCATTGTTTGAGATTAACTCGCGGAGAGTTTGAGAAAAAATGCAAGACATAAATTTCTAAATTCCCGTTTAATTTTAGAGACGCTGTGTTCGCGGATGTTACGGAAAGGAGTAGTATGTATAATCAAAGTACAACATTCCGGAGCTGCCTGCGTTCGGATTTTGCGTTCTCCGTGTGCAATCTGATTTTATTGGTCGACAAACGTAGCGCGGACTCGTATCGGGACTTTATTGAAGTGTTATGCGCAGTCACAAAACGCCAGGAATTCTGATAGCGGCGAATTACGCAACGCGTGTCCCAGTTCCAAGAATTTTTCGATCCCGGCAAACATGGTTGAAGCTGAAATGCAATGGCGAAATGGATCTCTCCCTTCCTCTCTCCCTCTCTCTCCTCTCTTTCTCTCTCTCTCTCTCTCTCTCTCTCTCTCTCTCTTTCTGGTGAAATCGATTCAATCGCTTTGCTACCCGGCATTTACTTGTCATCTTGATGTCCGATAATGTGCCAATTATACAGCGAATTCTGTCACTCATACACCCACACCTTACCGCATTTGTTGCCCTTTCCGTTACCATCATTGTTATGACAAACGCACGATAAACATCGAGGCTATAGTGGCGAAAGGGAACGCAAACCACCGTTGGTTTCCGCGTCCATATCGCGGGATCTGTTAAATAATTTACCACGAATTGGTCCGCACTACTCGACATACCTATATTCGTCCTATTTTCGCGTCCTTTCTCTATCGCTTCATCTACTTCCGTCTAATTCTCTCCCACCGCGTATCTCCGGTAGGTTCACCACCCTGTGTTCTCCCTACATGCGCCTGTGTACATCCGCCCCGTGTGCCATCCTCACCCTCAGTTCCTCGGTTTGCCTTCTTCGTCATACCCGGCGCGTGTTTGTTCAGTCGGCGGTTTCGGGGGAAAGGGGCGGTATGACGCCGTTTTCCCGGATGCGGCGGTAAAGGAGCCGGCACCACGTTTGCACACCGCCCAATGTTTACACGCGCGGCTCCGGACGAGTTACCGACGTTACGAAGTTAAATAGGCTGGTGATAATAATCATCGTGGACAAGCAAAATTTATGACTTCTTAATGAGTTTAAACACTGTTCATTAATGGCTATCGTCATTTACAGATACACGCTCGAATAGTTATGAATAGAGAAAAATTTTACACAATAGAAGTTATCTATATTCTCCCATAGGAAAATATAGATAACTTCTATTGTGTACAATTACTCTCTTAAAAAATATTAAATTAATAAAATATTAAATTTTTAAAAGATAATTATTTATTCTTTTAGAACGGATCTGTCTAATTTTCCGAGAGTTCCGAAGCCAAAACGAAAAGCTATCGACGCAAAAATATTGTGGGTAAGACTGCGGGGATTGTAAAGTGTTGATATGCGTCTGAACAACGTCTTATCAATACTTTACAGTCTTTGAAATCTTACCCACTTTGAATTTTTTTTGCGTCGATGATTTTACATTTTGACTCCAGAGTTTAAATTGGACAGATCTGTTCTAAAAAAAAAGGATTAAAACTATGAGAGCCAGACTTTAAACTGATAGATTGTCTTCATCATTGATGTACATATGTGATTACATAGAATTTGTATTCCACTAAATGTCTAAAAATAAATTAAAAAGTTTTATTTGTTTTTTTCAAGAAATCTACATATTTACATTTGTTTATCGCGTTTTAACAAATACCTGTGTATAATATCACTTATTTCACTTAGTTCACTTTTGAGCATCAAATAACATTATTATTGTGATATCATTATGATTTAGTTATGACTCTATGGTCTGTCTAAAATCATACGGCGTCTATACAGAGCGTCTCAAAATTCGCGACTCAAAATATTGTACTATAGCAAAATAACTTTTGAAAAATTAAGTAAAAAATTGTTCATAAATTTTTATTTTAATCAATTTAATAATTTCGGAAATAATAAGAATTTAAATGTGATCAATTACAGATACGATTAAATAATTACCTGTGAGTATTAATGACTACATCAGCATTCATCACTAATATTACTGCGCGCAACTCATAGACAGTTGGCTATCTAAACATAGTCTGTAATTAACTATATTGAAATCCATATTAAAAACTACTGCTTAAAATAAAAATTTAGAATTAAATTTTTATTTAATTTTTCGAGAATTTCTTGCTATTTATATTTTGAGTTACAAAATTTGGGACATCTTGTATATTGCTAATATTAACACTAACATGAAATAGGTTTAACAAGGATTTTAAATTCACGTGATGATATAGACACTAGGAGTTATAAATATCATGTTAATGTTAATATTAATACTGATACACGATGAGAATTATATAGACACTGGAGCACTTTATGATGTTAAATTTATACCGATATTTTTTACAGTGCACTATTTATATGCAGAAACTGGGTCAACAATTGGTAATGTGCTCAAGGTAAAAAAAGATAACTGACGATTCCCTATTGAAAAATGGAATATTCGTTCAATGTCCTGTTTCCATCTTTTTCCCCTTTCGCGGCGACTGGGAAAGTACGTAAAGAGCATTTTGTCAAAGTTTTCTCAGTGCATTCTTTACCTTGGCAAGAAAGTTGCACCTCGTATTTGTACGACGGCGCTCGTGCGCGAAAGTACTATTCGTTCTTTATGGATTTAAGAGAATACGTAACGGCGTGATTGTTAGTTTGGAAATTAATGGTTTTAACTTGATAATTCTTATTGATAATTAAAACACACGTTCAACTTTAAGCTACGACGAAAATTGTTTAAGAAATATCTATTGTGTATAGACTGGAAATTCTATTCCATTCCAACTTCCTTACATTCAGCACGATATATGTGTATAAAAATATGCGAAATACTGCAATTTCCGCAACTTCAACGCCAGTTCGTCCTTCAATCGCTATCTATCTGTCTTCTTTTTATTGCTTCCCGGATGTGCTGGTTTCTTCTTTCCGTATGTTTGGCTGGAACTCATCGGTTTGTCAACGATGCTTGAGTCTACAGAAAACAAGTCGCATCCACGTTTGCGCATCTACGATGTTTACAGTGGTGCTTTGATCAAATTACGAGGTTCGCACTTTCAAGCTAGCGAATGGCTGCAGCACAAATTGAATTTTTGCGTATTAGAAAATAGTTGATGAAAACATTAATATCATGATGCATTCGAGTTCTCATAAAGAGAAAGAAATGCTATGATAGTTTGCGAAAAATAGCAAAATATTACTCGAAATAATATCTCGTTGCATTTCAACCATTGCAGTTGCGTCAATAAATATTGAAAAAATGATTTTACTAAAATTTCTAAAAATATAGCTAGATACAAATCTAAAAATAATTAAACCATCGAAATAATTATATAAAGTAAATATACCGGTCAGTGGACAGTTATAATGGATGTGATTCAATTATTGGATGAAACGAAAATTTTGAGTATTAAACTTTTAATGATATGTATGACTCTAAATAAATTCGTTGTTCATGACAATTTAATAAGATGAATTTATTTAAAATCATACATATTATTAAAAACTTAATATTTAAAATTTTTGTCGTTTCGTGCAATAATTGGATTTTGCCCACTAACTGGTACATTTATCTTAGATCAATATAGGATTCTTAGTTTTTAAAAGACAATACACAAAGATGTATAGGGCACATAAGAGTCGACATAAATTAAGTATAAATGTAAGAATAATATGATAAATTAAATTAAATTAAATTAAATTAAACAATTCTATAAATAACACATTGTAAAACACATTACACTACATATTTCGCCTCTTGGATTGAGTCATCCTCAGATAATACAAAATTCACAACCTTATAATTCATTTCCATCGTCATAGAAAAATAGTGATAAAAGTTTTTCAATTTATATAGTGATATTGATGAATGCCTCACTGAGACCATGAATTATTTGCAAGCGATTTACTGACCGATTGTTCGGAATTTCATGATACATTTATCTTAGCTCAAGCTGCGATTACTAGAATGTTATTTTTTGCAACTTTTTGCAACATGCGTTTATTATTGCGTTCTCTTGGCATAGTTATTAAAATACAATTATTAATGCATACCGGGACGTATCAACGATCACATGAATCTGTAAATTTATATCACAGTATTCACAGAGCGATGTCAGTAAACTCGATCCATCTACCAATCAATACGTCACCAATCAGTACATTACTTCGCATCCACTCTTCACATCGTATAGCATGTTTAAATCTGTATTCGCGGTTCCATGTATACATGGGCGCGGGTAATGCGGTGTATTACCGATCCACGACGGCGTTCGTGTTTGCTTTGAATAATTACTTCGGGATCGTCGTGTTGGCGGATACGTATGCGTCCCGCGTTACCCGAGAAACGGATATTCGCCACGCTCTCAAGTAAACGCGATACACGTGGCGCGTGCGAGAGTACAACCGCACCCTCATACACGCACCGAGGACATCCCCACACGTACGTGTACTCGTATATACGCATATAGAATACGTAAGCGTCTGCGTACGCCGTGTCTGTCGATGGTTCATTGTCTAAGTCATCAATTTACGAGGTTCAAGGGAGGATTTAACGAGGTAATAGGACTCGCCGGTGCTATTAACATTTTAATTGCAGCATTAACGACTCCCTTCCCACCTTTCGAAACGTTTAATCTGCACGTTTGCAACCGATTATTTTCGTAATGTTTGATCGTTAATGTCGTGGATTCGATATGATTTCTAAATATTGAACTTGTCACGTCGCTTTTCGAATAATTTTTATAAAATCCATTCGGCGCAGTCCCGCCGTGTTCGATCGAAAATTACAACATTTCGCGCAATGTTATTGCATATATTATATATATATATTGTATATCTTGGTTTGCTCTTTGTAAATGTTTACGTGGTGCATCCTATTCCCGATAACGCAATCGCTATCTCGCGCAATTTTCACCCGAAGCATAACTTCAGTGATGCACGGATATGCAAACGCGTCAACGTGTGAATATTCAGAGCCACGTATCAGTGGAGCGCAAAGGTGCGAAAGCGCGGCCACGTGCTCATTGCCGTTTGTTAACGAGTTACTTCGTGCGTACGGCCATTCATCACCTGGCATTAATTACATCATATCATTAACACCGCCATCGTCCGTGATGAATCTCAGAGCTCACGTCAACGCAGAATTTGAATGCGCGTGAGATCCGGGTCGTCGTTATGCGAGAGCCTTTCTTTGTCCATCTCTCTCTCTCTCTCTCTCTCTCGATATTAAAATATGGAACATTTTGTAAACGTTGCAGTTCACTTCATTAGCGCGAAAAGCAATCTGATAAAATCAAGATCTCATTTAAGATCTTATGAAAGAGTAACCGAAATAACTTCAGCGAACACCTGCACTCGATAAGACCCGTATCGAACAAGAAATCTCTTTAACGATTATTAAGTACATTTAACGTGTAATTGAATTAAATAATTATCGAATCAAATCATGTGTAACAGAATTCTTTTTTAAAACTGTCTTCTCTGCAATCATTAAATCAGATTTAACATTATCAAAAAAACTATAGATTATGCGGCTATCCCGAGCTGCAGTTTTCTTTTCACGCCGTGCTCAGCATTGAGTCTAGCAGTGGAAAAAGCCGATACACGTCAGCCGGGTTTGCGCTCAATTAATCTTTGGTGGCGGTAGCGACGGTAGCGACGGATGCTCGTTTCGAAGGTAACTCTCTTGGTACCCGTTACATCTAAGATCAACGAAGGAAAAGATAATGAGACCGCCATGGTCGGCTGGTCGGGCGTTAGACGCCAGAACGATGGATGAGACGGCTATGAAAGCCAATAAAATCGCACCCGACGGTCGGTGCCGTTATAAATCGGCAAGTAGACCGATTAATTGGGTTCATCCGATCGTGCACAGCCCCGTTCGATGAACGCGCACCCCCGTGTTTGTTTCTATGCACGACCACACGCGCGCGTGCATGCTTTCTGTCTCTGGTTCATCCCGGGTTTGGTCGACTCGGGGAACGTTCGACCAATTTACAGTAATTCGATCGGCGCCGACGGTGACCGACTAAAACTCCAAAATTTGCGGTCTCAGTGAGAAAACGTACGATAGTAGGCAGCGTTGTTATATACTGGATACGAGACCCGTTAGTGTAGCTATAGAAACACAATGTGAATACGCGTGTTTCTCGTTGAAAAATTGTGTTGTCTGTGCGCGTGTTTGCAATACAATCCTGATATGGTGAAAAAAAAGATCTATAACGTAATAAGAATAGTTTCATGCTTAAAGAATATTAATTAATCCTATTATTACGGAGAGGCTTATAAAAGGCTTGTGGGAAAATCGTCAAAATATAAGGATCTTAAGAGATATATGTATACGAAGCATAATACAAAGATCTTAAAATGAATAAATGTTTAAAAATATAATATATGTATATATCTCTTTTAAAAATTATATATATGTAATTAAAGATATAATATAAAGATACGAAGAACCAGATCCTTTTCGCAAGGGTAATTTTGTCGCTCCCCCGTACTTTTCAGTGCCTATATCAGACGTTAGTGCAGTAGCCGGTTTCAAAGCTAAGATACCTTGCGATATTGATCCGCCGATTAAAGACGAGACGGTCATCATGGTATTTTGGTACAAAGATGAAAAGGATGGCGAACCGATATACAGCGTGGATGTTCGAGGGAGGCAGATAGCTCAGGCGAGGCTTTGGTCGGATCCGTATGTGTTCGGTGAAAGGGCAGTTATGAAGACGGACGTAAAGCCCGCCGAGCTGGAGATAGATCCTTTGGAGTTCACAGACGGAGGTGTATATAGATGCAGAGTGGATTTTAAGAATAGTCCCACGAAGAATCAGAAGATTAATCTTACGGTCATAGGTGAGTTCTAATGAAAATTGGGAATTTCTATTTCTACATATTGTACATGTGTATATATCGCTGTAAGTAATATCGCTATCACAATTATTATTCTGAAAACGTTTCTGTTTAAGATACTGATAATTTCAAATTTAGTTCTGTAAAGATACTGACGTTTCAAATTTAGTTCTATGAAGCAATTTTAGATTTTCTAAATCTTATTTTTACTCACGGAACAATTTATTTAGAGTAATTGAAGAGAAGCATGATATTTATAAACATTATTAAAATTTTTTCCGTTTATCGTAGACAAAAATATATGAAGATTAAAAATAGAATAAAATTTATTACACGGAAAGAATAATGTTGCTGAAGTATTTAGAAATATTTAAAAATATAACTAAGTATAGATCTCAAAATAATTTTATTGGAAATCTGACTATCATTGAATTATTAAATTAATTAAAATAATTATGAACGACACTCAAATCGATTGCTAAAATGTCAAAATGTCGTGCAGCACTGTTCATGATTGAGTTTAATACACGATCATTTTGATAGTTTAACAAATTAAATTATTATTAAATCTTTGTCTAACTAAATTTTTAGATACTTCAGCAAAATCGTTCTCTCCGTGTAAATTGAAATCTTTATATAAATAGAAAATTCTCTAAATATATATAATTTAGAATTATATTAGGTGTTGGAATTAATTCGTAGCGTTTTTAATGAAAGAATGTTATTTATTTCACATGAGCATTAAAAAATACATTAATGAAAGTACTTCCCATCACTTGTAAAACGCTACGAATTAATTCCAACACCTAATATAAAAATAATTTTAAAATTAAATTAAAAAATTGAGAATAATCATTATAATCAAATGAAACATTGATTGTAATACAATAGTTGCTTTCCATTTACACTGATTCTCAGATGATTCTCACTTGTGACGTCATAACTCAATTGAATGCGCGTTCCTTTTACATTCTGTGTTACAAGATTTAATTGAGTTTTTGTCTATAATCTGCACAAGATCGAGATCGTGTGCTTTAGTGTGAGTCTCGTAAACTCACTTTAAAAATCAGATTAGGATCTATGTTGCTTGTGATAACTTTTTACCAAACTAAACAAATAATGACGCCATTAACTGAGTATGAAATACTCATTTCAGACTCAGTTTCAGTTATTTGTGTGCAAATAGAAAGCAACTCTAATAAATACTGTGCATGAATAAGAGG